ACTGAATATTCTTAAGGAGGAGCTTGATTCCGTTAAGGACTGGCTTGCTTCCGAAAAGGTATAGACGGGATTAAGGTATTCCAACTCACCTAAATCAATACACCCTACGTATATAGAGATATGTCCATTTGACACTAAGTATTACGGTAGTAGAATGTAAGCGTTTTAGTTCTGCCAGATGTGCCAATCTATCCAGGTTGTTGATAGTTTAGTCGTTCTAACCCGCAGGTATATATTGTCGACGGACGCAGTCGAGCAACTACTGAACTCCAAGGGTATACTTGTAGAAGTACAAGAAGATGCGTTTGTATCTAAGCGGATCCTTAGCAATTACTTATTCATGCCAAAGAGGATCAGACGTTCCAAGCTTATTTCAGCGTCTCAGTCTCTACACTGCCCAAGCCAGTTGGCTCCTACAAGTGGACAATCCGTTAACAGCTTATCTACTTTTACTTTCTCAAACGAGCTGCAGTCAGTAAATCGGTTGCCATACTTGCGACACAAAACGACAGCCAGTCAAAATTAAGAAACAAATGAAGATAAGTTGTGGTGTTTGCTGTCGGGAAACGCTAGAAAAGACACCTACGGCTACACTTACCGGACTTGACAAAACTGAGGTGTCGCACTTTGGATTGCTACCAGTGCTGCGTCTTGCAAACCCTCAGAAACCAAAATGATCTGGTGCTCTTAAGGTGATAACCACCAGTCGGAAGTCTTGTATGCATTAAAGTTCCCGCATTCAGATGCAATAAAAGTAGGGGTAAACTGCTAAACAATACAATTCAATGGACTCCATCTTTAATGCCATTGGCTGAATTCACTACACTGGAACCTCTTAAGTGTCACCCAAACTGCTTGCACTACAGCGAGTTTTGACTAATTCCAGTTACGCTGAATTTCGTGCAAAAGCCGGAGTACATTGTGCTGTGTGTGAATCCACTTCAGAATGCATGAAACGGAGTGTGCATACTACGGGATATTGCGTGCAAGGAACGTTTAATAGAGACGAACAACATAGATGAAACTCGAAAGAAGCATAATAAAACAGCCAATGTTAACGGTGTCGAGGAACCCAAAGCTTCCTCTTCCGAAGTAGGTCAGACACAGGACGGGGAGCAATGGACACACATCCGTGACGTCCTCTCTCATTCTGGAGAGCGTCGTTGCTATTGTACCGACAAGGAGTTTAGCGTCCTCGAATTAAAATGGTTTTGCTCCTAGGTTGTTGTTGTTGTTGTTGTTGTTGTTGTTGTTTTACCGTCTGAAATAATGATACAGACCCTTCCAAAGAACTGGATTAAGTTTCGAAACTTGCCGCCAACAGAAATTCACATGAAGACAGCAGGGACATGATCACAAACTACTTATAACACACTGGGAGTGGCAAAAGTTTTGAGAACGTCCGTTGTTGAGTCCAGCTCAGCGCCTAATCTAACAGCCCTCTTGGCATCCGAAGAAACCCGGTAAGATGCGAGTGACGCTCAGCGTCATCTTGACCTGGATTGGCTAGTGAACTAATGTATACCAACTCCATCTCGAGACACTGCGTCTACTCTAAACCGGCTAAGTTTCAAGCCCTTTTTCTATACCTTCTATCAATCTTCTAATACCTAAGACACTTTCTTTTTCTAAACCAAGGTACAAGACCATTTGAGCAAAATGAAAGAGATTCGGCTCTACCGGACATCGATGTCCTGGAACCATATAATGGTAACCGCGACATAGTTGAGCAAAGTTTACTGATGCCGAAATCCTACTACCTGGATGTCTGTTCTAGGCAATGATGGAACAAAAAGCGGGAGTAGAATACTGCACTATTACTGCAGTGGGCTAAACCTTGATCTCCTTGGTGACCTGGAGGTCCCAATTATTGACGCCCTTTTGTGTCGTGTTCACGTACGACATGGACACATGTCTATTGGTCATCATGTACTGTCGTTCACTTCAGCAATGGACAATCAGCTAATGTCCACTGTGAAATCGATCCACGCACAGTTACACAGTCACATTCTCCTTGTTGGTGACCAAGCTTCAAGGTCAAGAAAATTCGGATGATGACTTTCGGATGAACGTACAGGAGTTACTCAGGGAGTCCTAACTCTACGACCCCGTTAATTTCACCGCGATTCACGACCAAGAATGGAAGAATGGAACATCACTCCAGTTTACAAGGGAGTATGTTGCGCAAATTTTGCCAACTAACTCCCTACAACATTCATTCTGGTGCTATACAAAATCACTGAATCTGTTATTGCCGAAGCGCCCACAAATTACTTGAAAAATACAACATAGTATCAAACAGAATGGATTCCGCCAGAATCGGCCATGCATCATCAACCTGCTGTTTGCTCGCTTTAGTTGGATAGAAACCATCGACAGCAGTGGGGGAATGACGCGGTTTATCTGGACTTTTCAAAGGCGTTCAACCATCTGAATCACCATATTCTCATTCACATGCACCGGAGCTGTAGAATTTGGTGCTTTGCAGCTTATTGACTCAACGACATCCGAATAGAAATGTTCGCCGTGCCATTTCTAATCATATTCATGTTCAGTGCCGACAGCTACGGTGTTCACTACTTGGTCCACACCAGTTCCAGATTTACACAAATAATGTCGCGAAAATGATCCCTTCCAATGGCTGACGTTACGTTGATGATCTCAACTTATGGTGGACCATCAAAACGACGGGTGACCACGTGGAACTTCAGGATGACATGGATATGGTATACTAATGGGTGAATCAGAACCTGCTTTATTTCAATGCCACCAGATGTTATGTATTGAACAGATTTCTTTAATTAACTTGCGAGTAAAGTCTGGGGGCGAACTTGTACAGCGCGTTGCTAATTAATGTTGCGTAAGTGTGCCAGTACAGGAGGATGTTGGCTGTTCTCGTCAGGCCGAGAAAGCATCCAAAAAGACCAACGGACACCTTGGCCGTTTACGGAGGGAATTCGCATGTTTTGACCTTTCTATTTTCTCTAAGACGCTCAGCGTCTACATTAGATCCCATTTGGAATACGCTGTTAAGGCGTGGTAGCCCTGACACAAGTATGACCTCAACGCACTTAAAATACCACAGCGAATGGCGACCAAGTATGCAAAGGGTATTTTTCATCTCCCTTACCACCTGATTCGGAACACTATCAGGGTCTACAGTGGACAATATCGACAAAGAGCGTCGTAATCTGATAGTGGTATAATTGATCCTGAGAAATCCAAATCATCAATTTTGTCACCTTCTGAAGCTGAAGAATAAAATCGATCTGATAGGTCGCCAGCTAAAGCCGGTCATACAGTAGAGCCAGTAGGATTGCCGCCAGAATTTCTCTTCATCATATCTGTCCCAACTATGGTACGCCCCCACTAGTTTCGCTGATCCTTTCCCCACATTGACGGTGTTCAAAAGATGTGATGATGAACTCACATATTTATATTACGATATAAAATGCTTAATATTCGGGCGTCATTCTAATGCTATCACCCAGCCTTCTCGTTTTCATTACGCACGTTTCATTTCTTAGATGCTGCTACTGTACAATGTCATTAAACACACTCAAAATGGATTTAGGTTTCACATCGGTCCAAGAAAGCGACACAAGTATGAGCGTCGTAATTTTCACTTTATTTTATCTTACAGATCGCGCAAAAAATAACTGCTGCCATGTTATTTTTCGTGTGTACATTCAATTACCATTTTAAACCGTCTTATCTATCAAAGTAATGAAATAGGTTAACTACTGGACTAACGATTCTTTTATCATTCGCATTTTAGTCTTCAGCCTTCCTACGGGACTGGTCTGCCACTTGCTTTGAACCCGTGATAACTCATTGCTCATTCTTTATACAAATAAATTTAGTTCTGCTTCGAGTTGCCCAATGTCTGAAAGCTGCTATGCCATCAGATGAAATGAAGAAATGAATAAATGGGATGAGGAATGAAATGAAATAACCTAGTGATGCAGAAGCGGGGCGCTCTACACAAGCGTCTCCGTCCAACTACGTTTGCGGTTGTGTTAAAAACATTAAGTACAATACCCCCATTTACTAGGTTTTCCTGTGAGAGTATTTTGTTGCTTAAACAGGATAGAAACCTGAATCCAGTTCTGATTCAGTCACATTCTAAGTACTCTAGTGTTTATGAGATTTTATAAAGGTTTAAGTCAGGCGAGCTTGAGCAGCCGGTTGCTCAAAGTAAACCAATTGAGTTGTCCAATCGTCGCTTTATATGTGTCCGTGGATGAGTGATTAAAACAAAGTAAGCAGACGACTTTTGCTCTCTTCATTCTCAAACAACAGCCAGGTAAATTCACAACCATGGTAGTTGTTATGCTTTAGATAAGAGGGTTTTTTGGTATAAGCTGGAAGTTAGATTATATATACATATCACAGGCTTATCGCACGCATTATTTCCCATCGATTTCATCGGCTACTTCCAAATAGTTTGTACTGTCGTTGGAGATAACGATCGAGTGACATTACATTTATTACCATTTGGTTCTGTTCTGGTGACGTCATCATCGTTGGATTTGTTCTGTGCTGCCCCACAATGCGGTCCACCGACGTGTTTGTCACAGTCAACACTGTAGCTAAGGAAGACATAGCATTTGCTTTTAACTAGAAGCTTACTCAAAAAATGCGTCGGTCGAATGATGCTATTCTCGAAAATTATTCTGAACCACTGACCATTTTGCTTATAGAAAATATTACGAACTTTAAGTTCAACATGTTTGATTGGTGTCTATGATGCTGCTTAGCCAATGCAGTAATGTTCTGCCATGACTAATTGCACCATAAAGGCACCATTCCAAGATAAACCAACAATCTAGCAAATTGAGTGTTTGTATCTTGGTTTTGGGATGTTTTCGGATCGAAAGATTAGTGTGCACTTCACCGACATCTATCAAATCACACGAAACCTTACATCAAAGAGAATGGAACGTTCATGGATTCAAGTTTGAATAAACTGGTAGAAATATCTTCCGAGGACTCATCTCCTTGTTTCCTTTTGGTGTTTGAAAAAGGCTCCGGTGATCCGATCAATTTACAGGTTACATTGCCATTCACCCCGGAATCTTGATCCGACACAGAAAACACTGCAACCGCTCGACCCGGTTTTTCGTTTTCTGGCACCAGTGCATAGTTCGTCAGATATGCTGGCTCAAATTTTATTTCCGGCGCATGGTCGTTTTCGTCCAACACAAGAATTTCAACCACACACGTGGATACGCGCGACGGATGACCTTCGTCAGCAGCTTCGATAGTTAAATGAACCTGTGTGTTTGGAATATCAGAAAGCGTAATGTAACCATCTCATTTCCGTCATATATAACAACAACAGAAGAACAATTCGGGCACGTGACTCAGAGGACTGACCCATTCTTGTCAGCAACTCGTAATACGACACTTGGGTAACTGCTGTTGCACCAACTTTCGCTGTTCAATACAAAACACAAAAAGTCACTTTGAGAAAGGGCAAGGAGATTCCTCTTAATGAGGACGTGCAGCAACTAAAACATTCTTTCTACTCACAAACAGCATAAATGTAGCGCTCCTAGTTTAAAATACTATGGACACAGAGTCTAGTGAGAGAAAGTCACGACCTCGGAGGTTAGTCACTGTCATCTGCACTGGTAGCAACTTGTGTGGCACTGGAAGATAAGTAGTGCTTTATCCCAAATGATGGAGCTCAACTACCGTCCCCCATGGCTCAATGGCTTGAGCTGTTTGCTAGTTGGCGTCAGATTCTAGCGGTCATTGGTCTGAGCCCCCGTAAAGGGACTGAGGGAATGTACACCACTGACGAGCCCCAATAAGGGAAAACGCGCGTCTGGTGCTTTCGCAGATTGCAGCTTGTGCTAGGTAGCTCGTCAGCTCCTGGGAGGAATACATAAAAGTTACTAATACGGAATTGTTTGTATCCTCTAATCTGCTGTTTCCTAAAAGCGTTCCTTAGTTGGACAGAAGAGGCTGGTTACCCAACTGGATGAAAGTTGCTGTTGAAACGAAGTTATGCCTCACTAACCAAGTAGTACTTTCGGGGTTAGCTGTCTGTGCTTAAGCAAGACAAATAGCTATCCAGTTGTAATAGTGTGCAGAGAAATGAGTGCTGCTGTAGTTCTTTTCGAACAACACCGATGAAGTTGTATCCGCATGCTACAACTAGCGAATGGTAAAGCCAGTGTTAGTCAGTTGGTTAGTCAAACACAACACTGTATCCCAGCAGCTTGTTACATAGCGTGGTTATTCCGGCGAATTAGACGACCCACTTCGGTTGCTATTTAGACTCCTTCACCATCCCATTAGGAGCTTCATTAATCGAGCGACATTCATTAGTTTGAAATAACTAATCTCAGGCATGGTAAAAGCGATGGGGAAGCCGATGAGCAAGCATTTCCCTATTTTTGATTCATTAAATTGCGTTAAACATTTCTCAAAAGCACGTGACCAGGAGCAAGTCAACTTTTGTGCGTCTGAGATATGATCGTGAAACATGGTGGAAGTGTACCTGTCAACCAATCAAGTGACCAAGCTATATTAATAGAAGCCCCAAAAATGATGGGAAAACACATAGTCGTACCATCTTACCTTCTTATGTACTTCGTAATCGATTGTCCATTTGACATGTATCCATCCCGTTACACTGTCCACAGTAAACAAACGAATGTATTCCGTTTTGGTCAGTGAGCTAAAACGATACTTTATGATGCTATTGACGCCTTCGTCCACATCTACAGCCGAAACCTGTGTTGCAAATGAACGGGGATGTCATTGAGGATAGCATTCTAAGTCAGCTCGAAATAGGTAAGCGCAAATGGTAACTTGCATGTAGTCCGAAATAATGTGAACTAAGGTATTGGTACGCATTAAGTAACAGTACACACTACCTCTGGGTGAAAATTTCTTTGGAAAAAAGTAATAAGTTACCGATGACTGTGCTAAACTATAGGTTAGCAACCGGTGCATTCTAATGTCGTTGTTGAGTATCACTTCCGCTCAGATTTGCACAGAAACAATTTTTCAGGCCTATGCTGCTCTCAGTTCATTGAATGCTGAGCAACTTGTTTTGAAAGTCCAAATTAAAACTGTTGCATACGGCTGACTCGTCCTCTCCCATCCAGATTTCTATGACAACGAGAGCGGTTGTGTAAAATGGACGCAAGTGGATGTATATTTCCCCATTACTTATAGGATAGGATGGATTAGGTCCGCGTGTTTAAAAGTACTGAAAGGTTGAAGGAGACCACAATACAACTGATAAGAGGGGAATTTGTCTAGAGGATGTTCTGTTATCTTTTACTACTGCAGACCGCGGCCACTGTGTTAGTAAGCCCGAAGTTCATTGATGCAAATTCAGAAAAGAAAATGAAAACCTCAATTGCCAAGCACTTCAACTAATGGCCGTTTTTCACTCCACCGGTCGTGCCATAAATATTTCGCCGAAGCAAAAACCGGCCAAGGGAACATGAAAGGCCTCAAAACATCCAACCAAAGGAATGCATTACTGTTTGAACCATGGTCAGATATTTTATAACCAAAACTCAAATGCCTACGAGTAGGGCGTGAAAAATGAGCAGAAGCCACTAAAGGCGAACACAATTTTTCGATAGCAGTTTTGCAAACTAGCACAACTACATAAACTCAAATTAACCTGGAAGACTAATGAGATCGTTAGGAAGTGAAAGTTTTGCTTAGAAATTGTCTGTATATGATGTTAATCGGCTCAGTATCTCGGCAGGTACGTGGTCACCCTGTGTAGAGGTCACAAGTCGATCGGGCCAGCGAAGCCATAAGTGCTGTGTTAACCACTTTCGAATGCGCAGATTCGCTTAGTGCAGCTTAATTGTGATTCCATCAGCAGGTTCTATTATCTATCTGTGGGCATATCAAGCTCAACTTCTGGGGCCTTGTACACAATTTTGAATGACTAAGAATGAGTAGGGGGGATGTTACTAACATTTTACTTATTCGTCCCAGCTGCTTACAAGCCAGATATTTTAACCTCAATCCGGCAGTCACCAAACGACTGTTGTGCTCTTTTGGGGATCCTTAGTGAGGAAGTAGTCAGTAATCAACACAATCGCTTCCCAGTCTACAAATACTACGTGAACGTAGCTACTACGTTGTGGAAGTCGTTAGTTTGCAGGCCATTCGCTGCTCTCTGTATTGGTAGGGACCTGCATGGCAGTGTATGATAGGACGTGCTAAATCCCAGTTAATTTGCTAGCTAGGACGGTCTGTTTCCATTCTTCAAAGCCCAGTGGTTCTTAGCTGCAGACTAGATTTCGTAAAATGGTAGCGGCCATAGGTTGGATTCTCCGCAGGGGTCCGAAGGTACGTGTAAAACTGACGAGCCAGTATAAGGCGTACTGAAAATCTGGCGGACTACTAAACTACTTCTTGATCATCATCATCGTCATTATCATCATCATCATCATTATCATTATCATCATCATCATCAACATCATCATCATCATCATCATCATCATCGTCAACATCCTTGTCATCATCATCAGCAGCACCTTCATCATCATCATCGTCGTCGTCATCATCATCATCATCATCCTCATCAACATCATCATCATCATCCTCGTCATCGTCATCTTCTTCTTCAGCAGCAGGAGTATACACCTTAGGTGCGTGTGGTAATCACCTCAGCTATTGTGCCGCAATGCATAATACTAGAAGAAGTTCAATAAAGGCACGTCGGCAGGGTCCCCAGTACCGAAAGTACATCAAACCGAAGAGCTAACTGCCGGCTATCGTGCCGCAAAAAGAGTTGTATTACGCCTAGCGAATGAGATCGTGATTGGAGAGGGACTCTAAGCGGGATGGAGGTGGACAAAGAACGCACAACACAGACGCCATTAGGGCTGGTTCTTACCAATATAAGCAAGTGTGTTCCACCAAACTTGTTCATCATCCTTGGGACCCCAGCCAGGCAATCGGGATGCACCAACGGACGCCAACTTCGAAGTACAGGTTTGCATTTCGGTCGACAAAGTCATCGCTTGGCATCTGGCTGGCATGCGCAACACGTGGCCCAACCATCGGACCCTGGTGTGCGTTATAATGGTGCTCAGCGGCTCACTCGCTCTCCCTGCACCAAACACGCGACGCCGAACGCACTCATTGCTCAAGTGATGTTCCCACCAGACATGAGTTAAACTGAGAAGACAGCGATAATCGAAAGTGTCCAGCCACTTTATGTCTGTCGACCTCATGGGCCAGCTTTCCCAACCGTATAAGAGGGTTGAACGGACGGCTGCATTACACACTCTACCCTTCAGGGAGAAAGTGATGTCGCGTCTGCACCACAGGTGGCGGAGATTGACAAAATCACCTGGATCTTCTGCTATACGGTTCCTTATCTCTGCTTCGATCCCACGGGCGGTAATATAGCATCCCAGGTACTTGAATTCTTGAACGACTTCTAGCTGATCACCACCAAGCGTCAGCGTAATGGTGAGTAGTTGCCAAGCTTGGTGAAGAACTTTTCATTTCGATGGAGCAAAGCATAGCCCAAAACGATTGACAACCATTGCTAATCGGTCCAGTGAAGCCTGGCACGTTTGGGCGCTGTCACATTTGAGGGTAATGTCGTCCGCATAATCCAAGTCAGGAAGTCGCTCACCAGAAGTAGCTCCACACGTTCTAGGTCGTGTTCAGCGAACACTGTCTCCACGACTTCATCAATAACAAAGTTAAACAGTAGTGGTGACTGCGGACAACCTTCTGTCAGATCGTTGGCGATATTGAAGGGCGGCGGAGAGTTTGCCATTAGTCGTCACTTTGCCCGAACTATGCGCGTACAGCGTTTTGATAATCTTTACATATTTCTCGGGCACGGTTTGTCTCAGCAAACATTCCAAATGGCACATCGATTCACCGAATCGAAGGCACCTTTGAGGTTTCGAAACACGACTATGGTGGGTCGCCAATAAACATGGCGATGCTCCACCAATTGACTCAAGGTTAAGTGTGGTCGATACAGCCTCCATTTTGACGTAATCCGGCCTGCTCTTCGCGAATCTGGTCTTCACTTGCGCCAGTCAATCTGTGGAGAACGATGGATGCAAGTACTGTAGAGGCAGTTGAGAGCTACCTGAACTCCCTACGGTTGCCGCATTCCGAACTGGAGTCTCCCTTGCAAATTGGGACAATGACGGAGCGGCTCCAGTCTGTCGGGACAATTTCCTACTCCCAAAGTGCCATTAACAATTGGTGTAAATCGTCCATAAGAGCAGCTCCCCCGAATTTGTAGAGAGCTGGGGGAATTTTATCTGCACCAGCGGCCTTATGCAATTTTAACAGCGTGATCTCACGTTCGAATTCTGCGCGTGAGGGTGGATCGAAGGAGACGGCCCATAGAGAAGAGCACTCAATGCACGAAAGAGAAAGCAATAACTCAGATTGGTTAAACTGCCTTGAAAAGTGTTCGGCCCAACGTTCCAAGAGTTTTGACAGGCTGTGAATCGGCTGTCCACTCTCGCCGCACACTTTCTCGCCAACACCAGGTCACTTGATGCCTGTTTCCCGTATCAGACGGAATAACATACGATGATTACCCATGTCAGCGGCTGTTTCCATCTCCGATGCATGATGAGACCAATGGTCAATGGTATATTGCGAAGTTTGAAGTTTGGTGAGAAGGATACGATGATCCGACCGGTCGAATGCATTAATCAAGTTAAACCACATCAACTCCTGCACCAGCGTCCACCGTTTCGGTCCAGCTGTCTCGGGCTAACAATAGATTGGTTGTGCACGAACGAATTTGGCAGAAGCCGTGTTGCTTCTGAGCAATTTAACCAAAGCCGTCCAAATAAGACATGAGTACGTTCGCATTGATAGCCTACATAAATTTTGAAAGAACTAGCAATAGAATTACTGGTCGATAATTAGCTGGGTCGGAACGACTACTCCCTTTTTAAATGAATTATTCCGTGTTTCCACATTGCAGGAACGTGTCGCTCGTAAAGACAGCGCAGGATCGACCGCGCCAAAGGTTCAGTCAAAAGAGTAGCCGCCACAGCAAGCGTCTTTAGGCGGATGTCGTCAGTTCCCTGACAGGCGAGCAGGCGCATGGATAGCATATTTCCCATCACGATGTCTGCGGTGACATTTACATGAGTGAGTACTGTTATGACCACCATAGATTCCAAAAATTCAGGAGACCACAGGATGCAATGAAACGTTGGTGCATATTGTTGTTGCGGAACATTCGACGCTTCTTTAGCAGTCCGAGTTAGACCATCCGCTGTTTGGAGAGGTGTTCTTCGAAATCTGCTGAAGTGCAAAATCACTGGAATGCGCGTTCGTATCCTCGAGCATAGATGTATCGCGTTTTACATTGATGATTCTCTGGACCTCTGCAATGACTGCCTGCAGTGTGACGTCCGGGTCTCGCTCCAACAACCCAGGTATTTTGGTTCGGACCTCAGCATGCTTGGGACATTGGAGGCTGCATACCAGTATCAGGCACTCAACTTGGTCCTCAGTAAGTGACCTCAGCTTGTATTTCTGACAGTTTCGGTTCACTGTTGCTGCATGGGCAATAATACTTAACTGTCCCTTATGCGCGGGTTCAGGCAATTGTACCGATAATTGAAAAGTGATTCCTGATCGCCGAACATCTCCGTAAGTTGGGAAATGGTTCCATCAAAGTTGAAATCCTGAGCACTTTCTGGCAAAATGAAATTGATGTATCTGCCGTGCTCCACAGTTCCGAGTTTACGTAGCAGCAGCCATATGTTTGACGCATCATCAAGAATTACCAGCTCCGTCTTGAAAATATCTTCATAACAGCTGAACTATGCATCCGAAATCAGTCCTGAAGGGGGATCAAAAACAAACTCACTGACACTGTTGATTATTGCTTCAACTGAAGGCTTCTTAACATTGTGGACTGATGTAGACTTTAGCGATAGTGTTTAAGTGGAAGTTTCCATCATAGACAGCTTTGC